GATTAAGTCAAAGAATCCTCGAAATTAAAATAAGAAATTGGAAAGGCTGTGAGGGTCAGACGCGGTTCTCTGTGCGTAATATCAGAATCACTGATTTAATTGTTACTTATTGCGTTTTACAACCATCTATTCGTACGTTTCGGCTCAAGTTTAAGCCATCTTCAGCGGTATAATATTAATAATAACGTTCTCCGTTCCACAGTGGTGAGTTTCATGGTTATTAGAGATTTCAGAAACGAAATTGAAACAAACTTAGACTAAGAGATCCATGTGAAGTAGTCAGTTATCTTGTCGACACGATCCACAACATAATTTTATATTTACTTCGTTTGGCTTTATGTTTCGATGTTCTCGTTCTCTAGACTACTTGACATATGAATCTCTTAGTCTAAGTTGTTTCAATTTCGTTTCTGAAATCTCTAATTATGAAGCTCACCACTGTGGAACGCGAGAATGTTATTATTAATATTATACCGCTGAAGATGGCTCAAACTTGAACCGAAACATACGGATGGATGGATGTAAAATGCAATAAGCAATAAATCAGTGATTCTAATATTACGCACGCGTCTGACTCTCACAGCCTTTCTTATATATATATGTGATTTTTATATATTTTTTATATATAGATACATACCTATATTTGCAAATAACAATAAATGTGTTACATGTATATAATATACGTACATCAAGTACCCAATGCAAATCGAATTTTGGGTGTACAACAGTAACGGCTTGTAACAAATGTACTATTGCTTTTAGATCTGATATAAATCGGTCCTGAAGATCAATGTATTGTACTTTGATGGCTACTGTGTCCCCATCTAGAGTTGTACCTTTGTATACCTATCCAAGAATAAAATTAATAAATTAACTTTTAAAATAAATTTTTGAAACGGTCTTATGAGAGATTTGGTTCGACAGAATATAATTAAGAAAAGGAGAATGTAAATCTATATATACTTTTTATCAAGAGACACGGTTGTGTACGCGCGGTTTCTAATACCTGAGCTAAACTGGCAGCCGCAACTGGCTCGGGTTCAATTTTGCGTAACATTTCTCCAGGTTTCTTGCCAAAATCTTGTAGAAATATTTCCTCCATTTCGTCTTTTTCTCGGATTAAACACTTATCCTTAATAACGCCATAAAAAAAAATTGTTTGTTATTTAAACACTAGACAGTAATAATGTTAATATATTAAGATGATATACAAAAATAAAAAAAATTAAGAACAAATTAAATTATAAAGAATTGTATTCAATATTAAGAAATGTAGAATTACTTGCGAATTATAATAACGAAGGATATAAGTGGTATGATTTTTTTTTTCAAAGTAAATCTAGATTTTTTTAAATATCTGAATAAAAGGGTATTCTTTTTCATATAGGTAATAGTTTTAAATTATTTTTGCTTCCTCGTAGAAAGAGCTTTGTTTTCGTAAACCTCGTATATAGACTTTTGATTGCGTATAAAACTAGGTCCAATCAACCAAATCTTAAACAATTAAATATATGACATAGGAGTAGAACAGACCGAAGAAAAATTGTCTTTTAGTTTTTTATGCTAATATGTTTAGAATGTTCTAAAACGTCGGAAAATCGCATTGTTTTAAATGTCGGTGTGTGTGTGTGTGTGTAAATTCCCTTTGATCGCGTATAAAACTGGGTCTAATCAATTAAAAAAGTGTGCAAATTAGAAAACTTGTACATTGTTTCCCCATCATTATTACATATTCTTGCCATTACTCCTTTTCAAAGCCACCTTGTTTTTAAATTACACCAACGTAAAATAGCATGGCATGGCTTTTTCATATATAGAGGAAATTTTATGAGCAAAATAGAATGATGAGGAGAAAAAGATTCTAAATCTTATATAATATAAAATTTCTGAATATTTATAATAATTTACATTTGGTAATATGGTAAAAAATAATGGTAAATAATGATAAATATGATAAAAATTTTATATTTATATTAAAATGTTATTACAAAATGTTTTAACAAGTATAGTTGCAACAAATTTAGCGTACGTTAACTGAAAAAAACAAAAGTCCTTATAAGGGAGGACGGGGGAATAGGAACCACGGGGTAATAAGAATTATCTTAAAATAAATTGATTATTGCACGTTACAAATCCGAATCCAAAGCATATAACATGGCGTAGCAATATACGACAGTTGTAGTTGTGGACGTAAGTAAAAACGCAAAAACTTTGCCGTATTCTGACAGTCAGGACACGTCAAAGCTTTATTTACGTCCACGACCACGACTGTCGAGATCGTATATCGCTACGCCATGTTATGTGCTTTGGCCCTACAATACACGGAGTAAGCGTGGAGTAAGGAGTAAGAGTAGGCGTAAGAGGGGTATATATTTTCGGTTTAGAGAGCTGGCGTACGTACTGCTTTATAGAACACTGTTCCCTCCGTCATTCGAACATTTGATCAAGCTTGCTTTGTTTACCTGGGAAAGTGCACATCGTGTTTCCGGTTACTCCGTTATAATTTTTATCGATTTTTTCTTAAGCAAAAAGTGGTTTTATTTTCCATTAATTGAATTTATTTTTTTTTTATTATTAATATGTCATATGTTTACTTTAATGACAAAATATTTAAAATTAAGGACGGTATTCATAGTCGGTTCTTATATTTAAGATCGTCTTAAGTACGATTTTAATTTGTTATGAACCAATCACAGAGCCGTATTAATATCTTAAGACATTATGTTAAGTACAAGCTCACGCATGAGCCTGGCCTCTAGATTTAAAGAAGGGAGGAGACGACACATACCTTACTGTTCGAGGGAGATATCATATTTTCACAAATCCAGTTGAATTTTCCGAGTAATGAATCGTTAAACTTGTTTGAAATAGTTCACATAATATAGAAAGCAAATCACATAATACATAGAAATAACTCTCAGACTCGAATGGTCTTTTCCATAGCTTGAATAAATAAATACAACTCGTAATACTCAGTTCATTCAGTGAATTCTAGATTTTGATCTCTTAGAATAAGAGATCTTCGTTTGACCTTTCTCTTTGTTGTATGTAATTTTTAACTATAAAATGATTATCAGATTATAGATTGCATCATAAGAAGTTCAGATAATTAGACCATTCGTATGAATCATATCACATATAGAATAAAGTAAATTTTCACACATAAATGAATAAGTAAATTGTCACACATAAATGAATAAGTATAAATTTATAGTAAATCAAGAACATGTCAGAGATAGATTAATACGTCGTGTTATTCTTAGTAACGTAACTTCATTCTCGCTCGAATAACCAATAGCCTTTAATGTAGATAATCTTTGCAAAATAAATTCAGAAAGTAATCAAGAATGTGAAAGAAATAATATACTAAGTTCTACTACGTTACAGTTCAATAAATATCATACTCGATAAGGAAAGATGTATCAATCTATACACATTATATATATCATTAATCGCCGCAGTCTTGCATTATTCGAAATGAATCCGTTTATATATATATATATATATATATATATATATACACAATAGATGTTATGAAATAAGCAAACATGCGTAGTAATCTCTCAATTAAAGATAACGTGAAGTAATCTTTAGTAACGGAATATAAGTAACGCAAAGTCTCATATAAGTAAAACGAATGTTCTTTCGCACAAATGACAGTAATTCCTTATCAAACATGAATTAATTGCACGTTAAAGAAAAGGAATAATTATCTCGGTTGCAACCGTAAGGAAAAGAAAAAAGGTTTACTGTGTTCAGATTTGAATCGATTAACTCTTGAAATGTGATGCCAGGACTATCGGCTGATAGAAGGCATCTCTCTCTGAGAACGTAGTCCTCGCGTAACTCTCGTGATTCCTGAAACTCAAGAACGAAAAGCACGGTCATGAAAGACCAACTCCGTACAGGATTGTAAATCCCGATCTCCCGCTAATCCGTAGCAACTCGGTAATGTTCTATGGGTTGTCAGAATTCTAAGAGTTACCTCGTAATAGAAGAAATCTCAGCTTGAATGATAGATCCTTAGTATAAGGATCTCTTTCTCTCTTGTAGCCCGTAAGGCATCCCATGAATCTCAATAGCGGCTGTTCCTTCGTGCGGTAACACGAAGCAGCAATGGCGGACCTCAATAGCGGCTGTTCCTTCGTGCTGTAACACGAAGCGGCAATGGCGTGGTCGTGCGTTGGGCCGGTATAGTCTCGTGGCGGATGCTCATTCCAATCTCTCTCTCGTAGAAGTAATCTGCTCGCAACGTAGCAGATAGACGATTTTACTCAAAGTGGGAAAGAACGGAACAGTCAGAATATTCGCCACTCGTTACGACTCGTTATTCTCGAATAATCTACCGGACCGTCTCACATACGAGAACGCTGATACTTCGCCCAAGGACCAGAAACGAATGCGCTCGGTGAGCCGCAGGCTCGTACTTGTTCGTCTCGCGCACGCGCAACTCTACCTATTAGAAGTTAGCCCTCCACTTTTAGAATTAACATATTTTCACGGTTGTGCTGAATTGTGCTAGGTTTGTGCTATATATTGTGCTCGAATATTATAACCATAATATGAAAAATACGAAAGAAAATTAAAAAAAACGAATTTTTAGGTCAACCCCCCACTTTTCGTTTTTTT